TGGTATCCAGTCACAGAAAGGAAGAACTGATGGGCAAAGGAGTTAAGCCTGGGCTGGTTTAACCCACATAAACAGTTGACCTGAACAGGGGGAGCTCTTGAACCCCAGATTGATGGCTGTGTAGAAAACATATGACTGACACAGACTCCCTGAATGTGGGTGTCAGTGAGGAGACCTAGGTAATCTATGGGGCCTTGGGTAGTATTTATCCCTGGCATACAAATGGATTTTGGCTACCCATCCCACAATGAGGGATGCTGTAGACTAGGCTGACTTCGAATTCACTGAGATCCCCCTGCCTCTGCCTCCCCAAGAGCTGGGATTAAAGGTCACACTGTCCTGCTGTTTTGTTTTTGAACCAACCTTTCATCCCTGGATTCAAACCAAGATGGTCATGGTCATAGTATACCCTCCTCTTAATGTGCTCATTGATTTTTTGCAGGTTTTTTGGGGGGGTATGTTAAAATCAGGGAAATTGGTCTCTTTGTCATTTCCCCCTATGTCTTTGTGCTGTCATCTGGGTAATGCTGGCTTCATATTGTGAGAAAGTGGACTAAGATTTGATCCTGGCCCTTCTTATCCCTCTACTATAAAAGCTTGAAAATGTTTATGTTACTGTTCTATGAAAGGACTCTCATTGGCACTTTAATGGTTTTCTTGGGAAATGGCCTTCTTGACTATAGGGTCTGTTTCCCCTTTACAAAAGAACTGGTGAGATGGACCATAGGATACAAGAAGGCCATCAGGATAAGACTCAGCAGCCTGGAAACAACTAGCTTTCCTGTACTTACATTTGTCTGACCTATGACTATCACCATCTTTTCCTAGGTTATATCCACTAACAGGGTAAGATTTTTGGAAAGTTTCAGTATATTGGTCAGGGTCAACTGAAAAATCTCCTAAAGTCAGATTTAATCTGACTTAAGTTTTACAAGGAAAGGGGATTTGAATTCTGGAGAACAAAAATTGCCTTGACATTTCCTTTAAGGGGAACTAAAGGAATCTGGGGACTACTTGATGGTGGTTAATTAATAGAGAAACCAACCTATTGTTTCCTTAAGAGTCATTGATCCAGCACAGATGCAGTATTAATGGAGGCTAGAAGGGTAGATTCCACATACCATTGTCCATAGAGATTTAAATGTTCCCATAAAGCAAAAAATTATAGAGGACCTCAGGTCATTTCCAGCCTCATGTCATGTCAGGTTAAGACTAGTTGGATATTAGTATTATAGTTAATACTTCTCTTAGGAGGCCACTTTCTCTTTTCCAGCTTATAGCTAAAACAAGGTGCAGTACAGGGAAGTACCAAAGCACTTGCCCCTTAGGGATGTAGGATCGAAGGAGTTCTAGTGTCTCAGTGCTCCAGAGAAGTCCAACGGATGAGGGCTCATTGCCCATCTGAAAAGAGAAGAAGGTATCCATTAAGTCTTCTCCTCCACCAACCCCATGTCTTGAAAGTTCCCTGATGACACTCTGCCTCAAACAAGGTGGAGTTTGGGGACCAACCCCTGATGTTGTCCTCTGTCCTCCATGTGCACTCTGTGTCAAGGCACACTTACTCACACATTTTATACACCATACACAAAGGATGAAGAAAGAAAGGAAGGAAGGAAGGAAGAAAAGGAGAGGGCAGGGAGACTTCAACCACAGCCATAGAAGTTGTTAAAATGGTGAATATTGCATAAAGACAACAAGTCAATCAGTAAATCTTATATTGAAGACTTAATTTGAGGATGGACATAGAGGTAGAGACATTGGAACCAAAGCAGAAAAATAACTGCAGCACAGCCTTACGTTTCTAAGCAACTGTAGCAGACTGTTTGTGAGTGCAAATGAGCAAAAGCAATGGGAGAATAGAAACACTGGGGTCAGAATGCAAGCCTGCATCTGAAAGATTTACTGACACTCTTAGCTACTCAAAGCTCTTTTCAGCTTAAATGGCAAACAACAAAACGTCCATTAAGTTTACCGTTGTCCTAATGCAAAAGAGTTACTGATTCTAAAAAAGTTGCTTAATAAATGGCAGATCAGAGGTGAGTAAGTGGCTTGGCAGTTGAGAGCACTTCTGGCTCTTGCACTTTGTTTTCCATCGCCCACATCAAGTAGCTCGAAATCTCCTGAAACACCAGCTCCCTGGGACACTTACACATACGCCAACACCCCACCCCACTTAAAGATAAAAGAAATCATTAAAAAAAGATGCTAGGTCAGATTGGCAAGACTGACCAGCTGGTAATTGGAAAGGTGCCTATAGCAAAGGCCGATGAGCCTGAGTTTGATTCCCAGACCCCACACGGTGGAAGAAAAGAACCATCTCACTCGGGTTATCTTCTGACACCCCCCCCCCCCGTCTGTCTGTCTCTCTCCATTTGCTTCTTTATCTTTTTTTAAATTTTATTTTCCAGTTTAAATTCAGAAAAGAAACAAGGTTGCTTCACAAGTCAGTTCCAGGTCCCTCTCCCTTTCCCTCCCCTCCTCCTGTGCCCTCCCCCCCCAGTTATCCCCTCATTTCCCCAGGGAGGGTGAGGCCCTCCATGGGGGGTGTCCATATTCTGTCATTTCATATAGGTCAGGGCCTAGACCCTTCCCCAAGAGTTCAGGGTGAGAGTGCATCTCACATTGTTCTATGGGAGTCCAAAGTCCGTGTGTATACTTGGGATGGGTACTGATCTGCTGCCCAAGGCTCAATAGATTCCCTAGGCCTCCTCACTGACACCCAGATTCAGGGGGTCTTGATCAGTCCCATGCTGGATTCCCAGGCTGATGCCTGGGATTCAAGAGTTAACCTTTGTCTGGTCAGCTGTTTCTGGGGGTTAAACCAGCCCAGTCTTAATCCCTTTGATCATCAGTCTTCCCTCTCTGTTACTGGCTTTCTTGAGTTCAGCTCAGTACTTAACCAAGGGAGTCTGCCTCTTCTTCGATCAGCCACTAAATGAAGTTTCTGTTTCCCAGAGTCTCTGGCCATAGGATTGTAGGCTGGCCCTCCCCAGATCTATGTCTAAAATCCATATATGAGAGAGTACATGCCATGTTTCTCTTTTTGTGACTGGGTTACCTCACTCAGGATAGTTTTTTATCTTTTTACGTATAGGCTCTCAATTGCCTTTTGTAATCCTTCTGGATATTATTTTAGGATATGATATGAACTGTCAAACTAATAGCAACTATGACTGAGAGTGTATACATCCCAGGTAGGTCGTATACCTCTTTTAAAATTCCATGTCTAGTAGAAACAAAAAGGTTTCTAAATTCCTGGATGGTGATAGTAACAGATTGTAAAAATTATCAGATTAATTTGCAAAAATATCCGGTAATGTACCCAAGTAAAACCCCAGAAACTCGTCCTTGTGTCTCAGGGTCTCAGCTACACAGGCAGAAGACATGTGCACGCTTGCTGGCCTGCTCATTGACTTTACCTTGCAATGATGACGTGTGGCCAGCAGGTGCCGCAGGTGTACCACCAAAGCAAATCCAGGGACCCTGAAACTCAGGTCTCAAATGTCCTCTAAGCAAGACTCAGACAAACCCAAACCGAATGGATTTTTGTTAAAGAGAAAGGAAAAGGAAGCAACCTGCAATGCAGCAGCGTCTGAAGGACTGGCAGTCGCTGGTAGGCTAGCAGAGCAGGGTGGCTCTACTTGGCTGGAGCTCTAGCTAAGGAGGGGCTTGCAGCAGCGAGCACCTTCAAGCTGACGTGGGGCTCTGGTCGATAACCTAGTGTCTAGTGGATACGGGCTGCTCACTGGGAACAGGGAACTGGTGCAAGCACAAGCTGTAGGCAGCCGCACTGGACACAGCATGAGAGAGGCGTGGGGATGGGAGAAAAACCGTGACAGCGGCAGTGGCAGCTGAGGATCACACTGGCTGGGGTGCTGGGAGCCAGAGCGTGTGTGCGTGCACTGTGGAACGCTGGTGGGGTCTGAGAACAGGGCAGGGGTGCACCCGGCACTGCAGCCCCTGAACGCAGGTGGGAGCAGGGTGGTCTGATCGAGCTAATAAAGCGCGGTGGGCAGAGGAGGCAGACTCTGAGTCCCACACTCTGGCACGGAAGATGCCTAGGTCCAGTAGCCGCAGATGCCAAGGCAGCTAGCCATGAACTGGCTGTGGAGAACAGGTCACATGGGCACCAAATGAGGGTGAATAAAGAAGTCAACGAACACCCGAATAAAAGAATAACAAATATTTATACCCTCATTGGTCTTCTGCCCCTGGAGGCGCAGTATGTTGTTGTCATGCAGGATGTTCAGACCACCACCCAAGAGAGAGTGAGAACGACCCCTCCTGTTCCTCTTAAGGGGATCACCTTCCACACATCGACTGGTAACTCAAAACTATTGGTGGAACAAATTTCCTCTTCTCTCTCCCTCTCCCTCTCCCTCTCCCTCTCCCTCTCCCTCTCCCTCTCCCTCTCCCTCTCCCTCTCCCTCTCCCTCTCCCTCTCCCTCTCCCTCTCCCTCTCCCTCTCCCTCTCCCTCTCTCTCTCTCTCTCTCTCTCTCTCTCTCTCTCTCTCACACACACACACACAATGTCTTTGGCTAACTTTTTTTCCCTCCCTCAGGGAAGCAATTTGTATTTATTAATAAATCTCTTAAAACACATAAAAAATAAGAGCAAATCTTAAATGTTAGGACAGTCAAAGGAGGAATACCGAAGGTGGGAGGGAAGAGGCAGAAATGTGGTCATGGAGATAGGGTAGAAGAAGAGATAAAACCATCCAAAGATAAATATGTGTCAATAAAATTTAAATGAATAAATAATAATTAAGACACAATCATAAAGATCTATATTTTGCTAGGAAATCATTAAAGTATGAAGTGTATAGGATGAGACAAACATGTAAATCAGTTTATAAGCTTGCTTCATTGTTCAAGATCTTTCCCCAAACAAGACTAGAGCTGTGTGTAGAGATGTCAGACAGTAAGAGACAGCCCAGAGACTGAGCCTTGGTGAGCAGCAACTCCAGGAGGTTTTTGTTTAGCCCTGCAGCACTGTGGGAGGAAACTCCTTACTCTGCTGACAGTAATAGGTTGCAACATCATCAGCTTCCACAGGATGGATGGTGAGGGTGAAGTCTGTCCCAGACCCACTGCCGCTGAACCTGGCAGGGACTCCAGATTCTAGGTTGGATGCTGCATAGATGAGGAGCTTGGGGGGCTGTCCTGGTTTCTGTTGATACCAGTGCATGAAATCTATGTTATATTTATTAACACTTTCACTGGACTTGCAAGAGATGGTGGCCTTTTGTCCCATAGACACAGGCAACAAAGCTGGAGACTGAGTCAGCACAATGTCCCCAGTGGAACCTGGAATCATAAACACACAGACCATGGTTATACATGTTTAGAAACCTTCCCAGCAAAGGAATTTTTCATTAAAAAATTTAAGACTCCTTGTGGGCATCGCTTTGGGAAACCAGAAAATCAAAGGGAAGGAGGAACTTAAAACCAATTACAAATGCCTTAAATCTAATGATCAAGATCCCAGAGGCGTGGAAAACCATGATGGCTGCAGCGGATGCTCCCAACCCTTCTCTGCACCCTCTCACCTGGAACCCCGAGCAGCAGCATCCATAGGAGGAGTGCGTTTGACTCCATCTCTGAGTACTGGAGAAGAGAATGTTTCTTAGGCTCCTGGCAGCTGACCTTAAAGGAACCTGCGTTGTTGTATAATGACTCAATATGTAAATCAGCCCAGAAATGTTGGTGCTGGTGCTCAAAGGGCACCTGCTGGGAGTTTGTGTCAGCACACAACTTACTAGAGCATGGCAAGTGTATCTTAAAGGAGCCTTGCAGCCTATTCTATTAAGTCTTTACCCTGTCATCTTTCTGAGGTGTGATGTGGGACAGTGCACTGTGGATATACTATGTACAGAATGTAAGTTATTTCAGGAAAAACTTGATCCTTCAAAATTGTACACATCCAATGAAAATATCTAAGAGGGAATGGAAAGTGAGGACTCAGATAAAAGTACCATAATTAATTCTTGGCATAGTTTCTTTTTTAGTTATATCTGTGTTTCAGTGTGTGTGATGCTGTCCCTGTACCTTTGTATGTTTGTGCCTGCTCTTGTTTGAGAGCAACCTCCTGGAAGTAAGAGGATATCCTAGGGTTTGGACTTTGCCTTCTGCCTTATGTGAGACAGGGTCTTTTGTTCACCATGGCTCATGAAAGGCTGCCTGGCCCATGTTCTTCTTCTGTAGAGTCTCTTGTCTCAGTCTCTCATCTTGGCACAGCATCACTCTGAGTACAGTCATGTGGTGCAGCTGAATCTGGCTTCATGTGGGTTTCTGGGCTGTGAACCAGGTTCTCATACTTGTGTCAAGCATGTTACCCACAAAGACACCCCAGGTCATTTTAAAAAATAAAAACATTGAAAGGAAATTCTTCAGGCTTAACATAACATACTTATTTTCTTAAAAAATTATCTGTTTTTTAATTCTTAAATTGTTTAATTTCTTACATATGTTACTTCCAGCTTCCTCTCCCTCCCCTCCTCCCCCACCCCCCAATCCCCTCATCCCCCCTACTCCTACTCCCCTCTGCTCCCCATGGAGGGTAAGACCTTCCATGGGGGGATTTTCAAAATCTGTCATATTATCCTGGGCAGGGCCTAGGCCCTCCCCCATGTGTCCAGGCTGAGAGAGCATCCCTCCATGTGGAATGGGCTCCCAAAGTCCATTCGTATGCCAGGAATGAATACTGATCCGAGGTTCCATAGATTGCCGAGGCCTCCTCTCTGACACCCAGGTATGGGGAGTGTCTGGATCAGTCTCATGCTGGCCACTCAGTCATCAGTCTGGGGTTCATGCATTTCCCCTTGCTCAGGTCAGCTGCCTCTGTGGGCTTCACCAGGCGGATCTTGACTCCTTTGCTCATCACTCCTCTTTGTAACTGGGTTCCAGGAGGTCAGTTCAGTGTTTAGCTGTGGGTGTCTGCCTCTGCTTCCATCAGCCACTGAATGAGGGTTCTAGGACGGTATAAGGTAGTCATCAATCTCATTTTTGGGGGAGGGCATTTAAGGTAGACTTAATGCCAGTTGGTGTCATTCTTGTAGATCTCTGAGAATCTCACTAGTGCTGGATCTCTCCTGGAACATATTATGGTTCCCTCTATGATAATATCTCTCATCCTGTTCTCAATGCTTACCCAGACTCACCCTTCCTGCTCCCCTATGTCCTCCTCTCCCCGCCTCTTCTCCCCTCCCTTTCTTCCATCTCCTGCTCCCCTCCACTCTCCCCATGCTCCCAATCCCCTCAGGAGATCTCTTCCCATTCCCCTTCACTGGGTTACCATGCATATCTCTCTTAGGATCCTCCCTGTTTCCTAGACTCTATGGCAGAGGGATTGTAGGCTGGCAATCCCCTGCCCCATGTCTAAAATCCATATATGAGTTAGTACATATCATGTTTGTCCTTTTGTGACTGGGTTATTTCACTCAGGATGATTTCTTCTAGTGCCATACATTTGCCTGCAAATTTCAAGATTCTATTTTTTCCCACTGAATAGCACTTAATTGTGTAAATGTACCACATTTTCTCTATCCACTCTTCAGCTGAGGGGCATCTAGGTTGCTTCCAGGTTCTGGCTATTACAAATAATGCTGCTATGAACATAGTTGAGCAGATGTCCTTATTGTATGAATGTACATCCTTTGGGTATATGCCTAAGAGTGTAATTGCTGGATCTTGAGGCAGACTGATGCCCATTTTCCTGAGTAATCTCCATACCGATCTCCAAAGTGGCTGCACAAGTTGGCACTCCCACCAGCAATGGAGGAGTGTTCCCCTTTCTCCACATCCTCTCCAACATAAACTGTCATTGCTGTTTTTGATTTTAGCCATTCTGATAGGAGTGAGATGGTATCTCAGAGTTTTGATTTGCACTTTCCTGATGGCTAAGGATTGTGAGCATTTTGTCAAGTGTCTCTCAGCCATTTTAGATCCTGTACTGAGAATTCTCTGTTTAGTTCTGTACTCCACTTTTTAATTGGATTATTTGGTATTTTGGACACTTGATTCTTGAGTTCTTTGTAATTTTTGGAGATCAGACCTCTGTCAGATGTGGGGTTGGTGAATGTCTTTTTTCTATTCTGTGGGCTGTTGTTTTGTCTTGTTGACTGTGTCCTTTGCCTTGCAGAAGCTCCTAAGTTTCAGGAGGTCCCATTTATTAATTGTTAATCTCAGTGTCTGTGCTACTGGTGTTATGTTCAGGAAGTGGTTTCCAGTACCAGTTTGTTCAAGGGTACTTCCCACTTTTTCTTCTAAGAGGTTCAGTGTGACTGGATTTATGTTGAGGTCTTTGATCCATTTGGGCTTACATTTTGTGCGCGATGATAGAAATGGATCTATTTGCAGGCTTTTACATGACAGCATCCAGTTATGCCAGCACCATTTGTTGAAGATGCTTTTCTTTTTCCATTGTATAATTTTAGCTTCTTTGTCAAAGATCAGGTGTTCAAAGGTGTGTGGGTTAATATCAGGGTCTTCAATTCGATTGCATTGGTCCACCTCTTTATTTTTGTGCCAATACCAAGCTATTTTCATTACTATAGCTTTATAGTAGAGCTTGAAGTCAGGGATGGTGATACCTCCTGAAGTTCTTTTATTGTACAGGGTTGTTTTGGCTATCCTAGATCTTTTGTTTTTCCATATAAAGTTGAGGATTGTCCTTTAAAAGTCTGTGAAGAATTGTGCTGGTATTTTTTTTTTTGTTTTTTTCGAGACAGGGTTTCTCTGTGGCTTTGGAGGCTGTCCTGGAACTAGCTCTTGTAGACCAGGCTGGCCTCGAACTCACAGAGATCCACCTGCCTCTGCCTCCCAGGTGCTGGGATTAAAAGCGTGCGCCACCAATGCCCAGCCTTGTGCTGGTATTTTAATGGGGATTGCATTGAAACTGTAGATTGCTTTTGGTAAGATTGTCATTTTCACTATGTTGATCCTACCTATCCAAGAGCATGGGAGATCTTTCCATTTTCTGGTGTCTTCTTTAATTTCTTTCTATAAAGACTCAAAGTTCTTGTCATACACGTCTTTCACCTGTTTGGTTAGAGTTACCCCAAGGTATTTTATGTTGTTTGTGGCTATTGTAAAGAATGATGTTTCACTGATTTCATTCTCAGCCTCTTTATTGTCTATATATACTAGAGCCACTGTTTTTTTAGTTAATTTTGTATCCTGCCACCTTGCTGAAGGTGTTTATCTACTGTAGGAGTTCCCTGGTAGAATTCTTTGGGTCACTTACATAGACTATCATATCATCTGCAAATAGTGAAAATTTGACTTCTTTCTTTCCAATTTGTGTCAGCTGTTTCTCTTGGAGGAGTCCCCGAGGCTAGCACAGGTGGGGGCAACCAGGTCTAAGGGAGGTTACTGTTAAGGACTCAACCACTGTGGGAGGCATCTTCAGTGTTTGAAGACAGTAATAAACTGCAAAGTCCTCAGGCTGAAGGTCTTCAATAGTGAGGGTGAATTCTGTCCCAGATCCACTGCTGATGAACCTGGTGGGGACTCCGTCAATCCTGACTGAAGCATGGTAAATGAAGGTCTTGATGGTCTGCCCTTGTCTCTGCTGGTACCAGGACAAGTAGTGCTTTCTGTCTGTGTAGAGGAGGCTCTGACTGGCCCTGCAGGTGATCGAGACTCTCTCTCCTGGAGAACCATGAAGGGATTCTGCTGGCTGGGTGAGTGTGATCTGTCCCTTGGAAGCTGTAACCAGAGGCACAGGGGGATAGAGAGATTGTGAAACCCTAGATCAGAGTTTCCTACTATCACCAGGCCGTGACCTGCCAGACCTGTGCTGCAAATGGCTTTTGCTCCTTATCACTTATCACTTTCAAACACAGTCAAAGCATCCAAAGTCGCCATGGAATGTTATCTCACCTGTGACACTTAAGAGAAAGAGGAGGAGTGGGATGGCCACCATATTGCTGCCTCTCTAGCTTCTGAGAATGCTCTGGTATAACAAGAAGCTGCGTTTATAAGCCCTGATCATTGGGAGGGGCCAGTGAGAGATGTTAAAGCAAACCCAGACGAGAATGAAGACTGAGCAAATGGAATAGAGGACTGTGGTTGCATCTGGCTACCACAGCCTCTCATCTACTGCCTGATGTTACCCTTACCCCGAGGATTTCCTCAGGTACTGTCACAGGTGCTGTGACTATTGTGTGATAGCCACTGCTACCTCCAGGGTAGTCAGCAGTCTGGTGTGGAGGGAGATCTCTCTCATGCATTAGTAACTCCACAGAAGGAGGGCCATCAGTCGCCCCTAAGCTGCAAGTATAAGGCCCAATGCTGCTCTGTGACGCCTCAAACAAGGCTCAGCTGCCCCTGTGACTGGGGGGCACAGACCCTGTTGCTATGGAACGCCACTTCAATACTTCACCTGGGCATCATGCTAAATTGTGATGTGGAAACAGCTAATCTAGCAACCCAGGAGGCTGGCTAAACTTCCTCAGTTTATCCTCAGGATGGGTTTAGGCCTTGATCTGTAAAGTTTTTCATTAAATAAGTTGAAATCATGAGATGGAATCAGACAAAACTGTCATCATGTTCCCCATGTTACTCATTTCCACCTGAGTGTTTATTGCTCATTTTTATTAGGTAAAATTAGAAAATCTGAGGCAAACCAGGGCCCATTTCTGGACTGCCTGCCTGGGCCTGGGCTCT